CAGCAGGAGAAGGATAGCTGTGTTCAAACTAATTTCACTGGTTGCTTACATGATTGCTGTAGATATACATATGAATACTTAGAAAGCTACAGCTTTTTGACTGCTACAGCATCAGGACTGTATTAGTGGTTAACTACGGGAGTGATATCAGCTAATGGAGCGCTACTGTTAACTCTGCCAGGGCCTTTTAGTGACCTCGGCCACTGTGACAGCTTTCCCATCTGGGAAATAACGGTAATAACATCTTCCTGTCTCACAGATTTGTGGTGAGGCTTAATTTCAGTAAAGAGTGTAAAGAAGTGTGATTAGCTTGGCTGCAAGATGCTAACAACTATTATTTCCTGTTCCCCTTTGATGCTGAATTGCTGTTCTGTATGCTTTTTGCCTAGTAACTTCTGTGATGATTTGCTTACAGTCAAAATGATAAACGAATACATGTAAGGATTTTTTGATGCTGTATAGCACCATTGTGGATCAAATCGAGGAAACAGAGCCTCTTTATTAGGCTTCCGGGTTCTGGTACATTGCTGTTTGTCACGGAAGCAACCCACTGTAGTGGAAGATAAAACTTGAGAATAGCAACTGTGGTCTGATTTCTATTTTTTGTTCTACTCATCTCGCTTAGTTAGGTAGACTGTTTAGTCTTTTCCTTCCTTTTCCTTTTTTTCTTGCTTTTCCTTTCCTTTAGCACTGCAGCGGTAGTAGATTGTACCATTGAAATGTCAGTTTTCCCATCTGTAAAGAGTAGTTTTTGTAGCTGCAGTTGTCTAAGGATAAAGGCAAGACAAGGTTTGTAGGTCAAGGTAATGTTTTTTTCTTTAGTCCAAGCTGTGTGTTATGTACACCAGAAAGCTTGTGTGTTCTTTTCTGGCTGTACTAAGTGGCCTAGTAAAATATGTGAAGTCTGTTACAAACATTGTCTTGCTCTTGTTTTGTAAAGCAATTCAGCAATTTCATATGATGGATGCGCTATTAAAGGCAGTTATTCATCTCCAGCTACTTGGAGGAGAGGATATTGAGGTCATTAGCAAATAGCTAATGATAAGAAAGATAGTGTTGCAGTTGCTGTTTTTTTCGCCACTTCTTTGCCAGATATTACTGCGATCACATTCGGAGGGACAGAGTGAGGGAGCACTTACAGGCTGCTTTCAGACACTTTCCTGGCATTTATTTCATTATTTCTTCTGTGACATTTTAAGCTAGACTGCTAAGCGAACGTGTACCTGTGCTCTGTTTTAAATAATTTCACTAGCAATGTGATGCTATTGCATTGACACGTCAAAACCTCAAGTGGTCTAGTCCCCTCTCTCTGCTTTGAAAATGCGTGGCAGCCAGGAGCTCAGGACTTGATTATCATCACAAAGCTCAGAAAATACTGTAGTTAATGCAAGCATGCAAATAAATAGCTATTGACCTCCATGAAAACGTTAAGTGTCGCGCAGCTCCCAGGACGCAGCTGCTGAGTCAGCCATTGTGTGTAAGCACGGACAGCGCTCTCCAGCTGGCATCGAGGAGAAGGCGTCTGCAGCTATGACAGCCTGCCCCTCTCTCTGCCCTCCAGCACAGGAAGCTAGCTGGTACTTACTCCTCTGCAGGCAGAAAAGGGTGCAGGCAAAGGCGCCTCTTTGTACCGTGCCATCTGGACAGTTTCTGAGGAACACACTTTTAAATAAGCACACCTATGAGCAACCCCAAAAATTACGGGCTGAAGAGAAGGCTAAAAAAGAAATGCTTGCTCTGTTCTTCGAGAAACCATCTCCGATGCATCTTGTTAAAAAAAGAAAGTCAGTTTTTGTCACAATCCCAAACAAGGAAAGCTAATACCTGCAGATCAAAGTCCTTGGAGAAAAAAGACAACGTTTTCCCGAGAAATGAAAATGTTTAGCTTCCTTCTGTCTGTTAACTTTTGCAGACATATTTTGCATACATTGGTTACACAGACTTTAGACTGGTCTGAAGCATGATAGGAAGGTACCCTTTTTTAAAATAAAAGTTTAGAAGTGAAGATAAGAACTACGTGAGAACGGGGCTGATCCAGGTGGATTCTCCTCGTTCCTGCCTCGCGTTATTTCCAGCCAGGAGCGCCAGCGGGAAAAAAAAAAACAACACAAAGACACAAGCGGCAAATGTGAAAGGGAAGAGGTAGCTTTCTCCGCCGAGCGGAGCGGGAGCCCCAGGTTTCGGGTCTGGGAGAGTCGACCCAGCTGGGCTGTGCTGCGTGTCTGCCTGCTGCCTAGGGCCGTCCTGCGTAGCCTCCCCGGGGAGCACACGCTGCTTGCTGGAAACTCCCAAATGAATGAAACATCTCACGTAGGTGGCAGCTTAAGCATTGTAAAATTTCCTTTTCTCCTTCCCTTCCATACTTGTCAAAATTGGGGAAAGAGGTTTTTGGATGCCGTATGCCAATTTCTTTTTGCATTTCGTGCTTTTGTCGAGCAATTTACAAAACTGAGGCCGAAATATTTTTCGTGTGACCTTTTGCTGGGAAGTTCTGCGCCAGCCTGTGTTTTGGGAATCAACAAAGGAATCCAGAGCAATGCAAATACACATAGATCTTTTAAACACTTTGAAACCTCTGTGATTTAAAAAGACACATCATGCTAAAACTCACTCCTATTCAAGTCATGTGTAGGAAACTGTTAGTTTTACTTTTTTTAGGCAAACTTTGTCATATTTATTTTCAGAGGAAAAATGTAACCCTGTGGTTTAAATGACTTTGTTCTGTAGTTGTTCGGTTGGAGCACAGGATTAACAGAAAATATTTTAACACATAAACAGTTAATGCTATTGTGATATGCTGGGGAAATTGAATTTTACAATAGAATTAATATTTTACATTTTGCAGAATCATAAAGACTTCAGAAGCATAGCCAGTATACTTCAAAAACTGATGAGAAAATGTTGGATTTTTTTTTCTGTGCAATACAGCATGCAGCATATTCACTGAGGCTGTATGTAAAACACATTTGCAGAAGAAGAAATCATTTGAAGGGAGGGAGTTGTGTATATGTACTTATATACAATTTAAAACACTTTGTCACAAAACTCACTCCTGCGGTAGTAGAAAGACAGGAAAGGGACGGTGATTTTCAAAAATCAGATTCTTGAGAGAATAGTTAGAAGGTTAAAAGCTGAGCGATGCTGAGGAGTTACACTAGCTTGCGTCTGGATAGAATTCTCCAAACATCACTCGTGGGAGAAGTATTATGCTGATTTTATAGGTGGAGAAAGGTGACTAAATTGTTGAAATTTAAGAAACTGTGATAGTGTAGTGCGCTGCTGTTTAGAATCCAGCTGTCCTGCTGCTCAGCTGTAGGCTGCCGTGACAAAGAGCTTGTAAACTAACACCATATATTTCCTGATTTTTGTCTTCATTAAGTAAGTACTATTGCCTCCTCATAGATGAGGTCTTTACAAACCAGAATTTTGCCCGGTCAGCTGCTGCAGTGAGTTAGAATGTCCCCTTTTATATTGGACCCTAACTTGCTATACAGTCTTTACTCGTGTTATTTAATTTGCTCTTCTCATTTTACAAAAGGTTATAATTATGTGTACTTGCTAAAGATTAGAGTTATATCTGAAAAGTGCTAAAGCCAATCTGTGCCAGAGATATGAATAAAACACCTGGTTATTAAGTAGAAGTACTCAGTTGCACTTGGGAACACTGCTTTACATTTTAGTTAGTTTTTTTACCAGCAGTGTCTTTTAAAGCAGTCAACAAGTTTATATAGCTGACTGACATGCTTAGTTTTTATCTAATAATTTTGACAGTCTCCAATTTCTGCAAGATTTTAATTAAGCCAAAAGAAAAAGCAAATGAAATCCGGTCTTGGATTGAGGGATACGACTACAGCTTTTTATCTTTCCAGCTTTCTAAAGGAGGTGTTTGAGACTGCCCCAGTGAAATCCAAGTGATTATTCTTACTGACTTCAGTGATTCCAGGGTTTCAGTTACAAGTCGTTAAAAAACACGAAGCTAAAATTTTGAAGCCAAAGAGTGTTTTTCATACATAACATCTGTTGTGTTGTGTATCTGGTAAATAAGAGAAAATCTCAACCTTTGAATGTTTTATCTCCGAAGCGCGAGGCAGAACGATCTCCCAGACGATGCCTGTTGCATCGACGCTCCTGTTCCTAGAGGTGTGCTGGCATCTGACAGTGATACTCATGACTGTACTGCCAAAAGTACTGGCTGTATTAGTGCATTATACTGAAGTTCCTCTTTTATCACTTGCCAAGAAAAATCTATTCAGAATTCAGCGTGTGAGGGTAAATTCAAGGGGTCCATCAGAGCCAGGTGGAATTTTGCCATCAACTTTGATGGGGCCAGGAGTCTCTCAGTCACGTTATATCGATACAATGCAATTCCTTTATAACACCAATTGTCAGCTCTGCTGCAGCCAGTTGTAAAACCCATTAGACACATCCTGCATTTGGACCAAAATTTTACTCACTGCCTTCAGTGGCCCAAGATGTGGCTTTCATACTAGCGCCTGCACTTCTCCACTGCAGATCTGTCGTGCTGCTTGTCCTTGCACAGGCAATTCAAACATCCAATTCTGTGATTCCCCATTTGGGCAAAATTGTTTAAAAGTTATATAATGATAGGGCAAGACTCTAGAATTTATGCACAGAGAGGTAGGTGAGGTCAGATATAACGATGTCTAAATTTAATTGAAAGTTTAATTGGTAAGAGTGTTCTGCTACTAATTTGGGATCTTAAACAGCCTGTTATCTACAAAAAGATTTTCAGTTTACCTTTAAATTAAAGCAAACATGTTTACCATAGTTTCGTTTAGGAGACTGGAAATGTGTTCATAAAAGTTAAAAACAAAGAAACCCGTAATGCAGTAAAAACTGGGTATTTTATAAAGCTAAACTAAAAATAGTAAAATGTAGAATGCAGGTAAAGTTGGAAAATTTGTGATTTCAAAGCGAGAAGATGTATTGAATAGAAAAAAAAAAAGTTATTGAATGTTACCTGGCAATAAATAAACAAATATCTGGTCTTCTAAGTGACATTATAATTGACGTGGTTGTTCTAATTTAGAGCAAAGGTGAATGTTCACAATTAATCCAGGTTCAGAACAGTGCAGGAGGTTGAGCCATTGAGCATGCAACATACTGGCACTTATAGTTGCTTTAGTAAAATTGTAAATGGCTAAAACCGAAATATACCACAAAGAGGGAGGAGAAAAGGTAGGGTAGCTGGGTGCCAGCAGCTGAAGGAGTTGCGGTAGAGTAGGTGGCCGGGGGTAAGGGAGGAAAGGGATTGCGCAGGGAGGGGATCACTGGAAGAGATGGGATCAAGGGCAAAGTGCCTTGGAAACCACTGTGATACACTCAGTACTGCATTTGCACATTTCATACCTCAAATGGTAAAACTTCAGCAATTTGTGCCACAAACTGTTGGTAGACGGTACTGCTACAAATAATGCAATGGACATGAAAGCCTGTTGCTGTAGGTTTTTGACTGCACAAAGATTTTGGACCTCAGTTGGATCACAGAATTAATGCTGAATAGAAAGTAGAAACTGCATTTACGTCACTACTAAAACTGGTGATACTTAAGCCTGTAGAGTGACTCATGAGTCTTGGGTATGAGTCCTTTCGCTGTTAATGAAGTTCGACTGCTTGTTTCTCTTTCTGTCTTGTAATGATGTTACCTGTCAAACAAACGAAAAGTCAGAGACGACTTCAGTTCCCTCCCTGCCCTTTTTGTGTCTTCACATTCAGTTCAATTCTTTGTGCATTTCCTGTGAACTTCTTAAGATTTTTCCCTCTCAGTTATTTTGATGATGATCAAGTCAGGGGGAAATAGGTTGTGGAGCTGCAAAAATAATTACATTGCTAAATCGACTTTGGAAGGCTGCATGGAAATATAAGGAAGTGCATTTGCACTGGGGACAGCTGGCTTTATGAAGGGATTTAGAAATAGGACTTTTTGAAAAGGTATGCCAGTAACACTTACCACATGCAAACAAATGCGCACGTTAGCAGGGAAGTTGCTTGCTTAGTGTATTTCCTACTTTAAATCATTGTGTTGGTTATCTTGGAAGCTGCTTCAGTACTTAAAAGTTACTGTTTTGGGATGGCATTATAAGGTCCTGTAATGTGGGGAGGAGAAAGGAGGAGAATAACAGATCTTTTATTCTTGCATTTGTGCTGAGGTGATAAGTGAAATTCTCTGCCTTTAGAAGTAATGGATTAAAAAGACTTTATCCATTTTCTATAGGTATTAATAGCAGCATATCTGCTGACTGGTGCTGTTGGCGTGGAAGTATGGCACAAGCCTCTCCTGTTTGGTTATTACATTACAGATGTATTAGTAATCTTGCTAATAGGTAAGTGTCCATATTGTGGAAAACTGCACTGTTTTTTGTTTATTTTGATTAGAGAGTTCTTATATTCCCCTCTTAATTTTTTGTCCTTTCATAAGTGTCGATTATTCCCAAAAAAACCTCACATGCATAGAGCTATTTAATAGGGTTTATACAAGAATACTTTGAAGAGGTAGATCATTCTGGAGACATTTTTCCTTGTTACGTTCATACGTGCTGTACCCAAACGATAAAGAAAAGGTTCCTGAATTCCACGGGGAGTTTGGTGTTCTGTGCTGACAGGCTGGCTCCTTCTCAGAGCTGCAGGAACTTCTAATGCCACTCGGGTAAAATGTGCACATCTGCATACGGTATAAATCTAACTGTTTAGCCTGCAGCACAATATGATCCAAAACACTGTGGAAGGAAGGAATAAAGGTATTATTTAAATAATGTTAGGTGGCACAACTGCAAAGCCGACAAGGAGTCTAGGTGATTTCTAAGCTCTTTCTTTGAAAATTGCTTGTAGAACAGACGTGATGCATTTTTCATACACAGCATCAGCCTGTTTGCTCATTATTTGATCCTGCCACTGTAATTTGAAATAATTATTGAGCATTTCTGAAACTGTTACGGCTAGATTAAGAGCAAAAGTAGTTACTTTTTAAGAGGTTAAGAACATGTTAGGCCCAGATAAAAACATGCCTGTGGGAAATGACTTCAGTATGTTATTTAGAAAGTGAAGAAATTATCATATATGTTTTATAGATTTTTATGTGAACATTCAAATTATGCAAAGAAGGGACCAACAAGGTGTTTGACACATCCGGTATAGGCGTATGTCCCAAGAAATGTCTTCAATCCTTGAGCCAAAAAAAGAACTTGGATATTGGAGTTCACTGACTCTAACTAGGAACTATCTGAGTGTTTCCTGGAGGAAGATTTGAATCTGCTACATTCACATATGTTCTCAACGTCTTTTCCTATAGACAGATCTTCAGAAGATACTGTCTTCAGCCTCCATGGTGCTGACCAGAATTCACAGATCCTAAAGAACATTTGAAATGACCCTGTATTTAGGCTTTGGTTTTTATAAGCAGCACGTAGAAGAATATGTTTTTGACAGTGTGCTTCATCCACGTGTGTAAAATTAACCATGTGTGACTAAGATGGTACAGTCTTTTTATTTGTCAGGCCTATTTTTTGCACTCTTAAGAAAAGAAAGGGAAGAAGAAAAAAAAACAGAGCTGGCCTTTTTAATGGTTGATAAATTATTCAATCTATTTGACATATGTGTTACTATAAAATGCCCTCTGGTGGCTGGTAATAGATCAAGGGACTAGGGAATGATTTGAGCTCAGGAAGTTGCACTGCAAGTCCCAGAGAGACGGATGCTAGCTTGTCCAGAAGTGGCAGGTTAGATATGCATGGGTGTTATATGCTAGCATGAACTACCCCACTGAGCGCACTCGTTCTGTGCAACACACATCGCTTCTTTTGTCCTTGTCACTAAGGGATGTGACAACCAGTTCAGTGCATAAACTGATGACTTCCCTTGTGCTTGGGAAGTCATGGATGAAGGTTTAGTTCACACTATTCAACGCGTGAAGATTTGTGCTAGGGAAGGACGTCAATGCCATAATATCTGCAAAAGCAAGCATCCTTTTTCATACTCAATCAAAAATAACTGCAAAGCAAAAATTGATCTAATATTCCTTTCCAGTTACCAGGTACTGCTTCTGTCTTATATAGTACTCATGCACGAATGGATCCATAAGCAGAGAACTGAGTGGTTCTTTTATCTTTGTCCCAAGCAGATTAGGCATAATTTCTTTAAAAACATTGTTTTTCACGCAGTACCCACTGTGCCACAGGCAGGGCAGCTTTTTCAGCTTAATGTAGCTAAATACTGGTTTTAAGTTTGCAGTAAACTATCTTGATTGATTATATTACTACCAGGTTGTCCTAGTACACTGTAACTTTCTTAAAAACAGCTGCTAATTTTACATTGTATATTAAAAAAACAGAGAATCCTTCCACTTAGGATCATGCAAATTCAGAAAACACTTCAGCACAGTTTTGAATCTCAGTTCAGTGACAAGTGGTTAAAGTGGTTATCATTGGATAACCTATGTGCAGTGAATATGGATATATAAAGTTATCAGAAGCTTATAATAAATCACAAGGCCCCATGGTGACTGCTAAAAAAGTGTAAGTCTAACCTACAGCAAGGGCTGAGCGAGTAGGATGATTAAACTGTTTCCTCCCCTAGAGAGGTTGCAACAAGTGTATCTTGCTCATTCAGATCTGTATATATCAGAAAAACCCACTCTCTAGCGTTTTCGGTTGAATGCCTTTGTGACTACTTAAGATACAAAGCGATGTAGTAGGTCTCTGATGCTTTTTACGAGTTTGTTTCCCAGGATCCAGAGAGGAGCTATTAAAACGTAACTGGCTATCCTTAACTATTTGATGGCATTTATTAGTCACTAGTGTTCATTTTAACAGTGAACCTATATCTGCTTCATCAATACTTGGCAAAGTATGTGTGTGCAGTTTCTTGCTTTTACTGTTCTGTACACAGCAGGAGTTCATCTGCTGAGCTGTCACTTTTCTGGAAACAGCTGGGCTTTAGCTAGTACCTTTTAAAGTGGGAAGAAATCCAAACGAGAAGAACAAGAGTAGAGTTTTTCAAATGTCTTTCCTGGAGTTTCTGGGAAGAAAAAAGAAAAGAAAAGAAATATCCCACATATAACCTGCAGATGAACTCTACTATAAGCACATCCTCAGTGGAAGCTGTGGTTTCACCAGGTGACACTCATTCGCTGAAAATGGAATTTTTATCAGGTGCCAGAACACACAAAGATATGCATAAAACTGCAGCAATACTGGTGTTTAGATTAGATATTTTAGGAAAACCTCCCAAGAGAGGGTTTTACGTACATCCTTGGGAACTGCCTAGCGCAGCGAACACATGTAGGAAGGCCAAGGCTTGAGCTGCAGAGCAGTGACCTCGGAGGGCTCCCTTGTGAAGCAGAGAAAACTCTGCAGCGTGTTTTATGGGGATTCTTCAGCTACCCCAGTGAATAGAAACACATAATTTTCGCAGTCAGTGAATGCAATTCCATCTTGAAGTTGCGATCCTTAAGCTCCAAAACACACACCTAGCTAAACACCAAACAAAATAAATAAGGCTGTTCTTCTGTTTCCATAGTGTGTTATCTTGGCTCCTAGACAGAAATGCCTTTTCTCTCTTAGCATGAAAGTAGCCAGACTTTTTCTAAAGTTATGTGCCTGAGTGCTCAGCTGGAACTGATTACTTGTGCTCTCAGGAAGGCTCTTATGGATGACACTCCTAAAGCCTTGTTGGGATTTAAACACATTTGTCCCATAGCATTGTCTGCCTAACTAGAGTCTCTCCAAAGGGCACCACCGGGGTGAGAGCTGTCATTTTGGCCCCTCCAGGGTACCCCAAATGTCTAGCATTCCCTGTCACTGTGTTATCAGGTAGCGAGTAATACAGAACGTTCATAATAAGCGTTTTAAAACAGTTAATTCTCCAGATGAAGTCTAGTACTTCAAATGAAAGCCAAAGGATGCTATGAACTTCATAAGATTTTCATTGAGAACTAAATATCAGTAGTTCAGGAAGAAGCATTATTAATTGAGCATGGTTTCCTGGGGATTTCTGCCTCACATTGCAATTCAATGACCTGTCAGGTGCATGTTCTGAATGAAGCATTTCCCACAGGCGGGACATTCATGCTAGCTCTCTGTGCAATGGATTCTATTATGTCTAATAAAGTTTGAGTTCAGGCTGCAGTCCTCTCCTCACTAGAGATAGGTCTCTAGTCGTGGGTCGTAGTTCTAGAGAAGTCATAGGTCTGTTCTCCTCTACCTGACTGTTTATCTCCGTGCAACTTACAGGGAGTTTCTTCCAATCTATTTAATTTGTTAAGAGTTGACCAGAGGCTCAGTAGTTACGGTAGGATGCACACAGACAGGCAAAGTATGATCGCATCAGCTTAGTTCCTTAGGAAGCCAGGTTGAAAAAAATGATTCCTCGATACACAGAAAGATTCATTCTCCTCCTCAGTAGTAATTGCCACCAGAAAAATATGCTTTGTGGTTAAAGGACCACTAGAGCATAGAGTGGATGTGTTGTACTTCATTGATGTGTGGCACGTAGGGTGGACAATTCTGTAATCCAGACATAGTGGCACATTTGAGTCCACCTTGTCTGATCAGTAGCGCCCAGATCTCCTGGCTAGCGAAGTCTGTGGCAAAGCTGACACAAATTTTCACGGCGCAGGTTCAAACACACAGGTTCAAATGTGAATGGAGTACTATGAGCTGTCAGAGATCTGAAACTTGAACTTTCTTTCAGAGAGGGGGCCAAAGTATTCAGAATTTTTTCCTATGATGTGTATTGGCTTGAGTGCCGTACAGGGTTTTGCAAAGAGTGCGTGTGCCTTGGGATGCACTCATTCTCAGAGCTATTTAACTGTACAAAATAGGAAATAAACACATAAATAGTAACATAATAGCAGCAAAAAACTAATGATGAGCAGAAGCCATAACATTTGAAACATGCCAAGTATATGCACTGTCACACTGGATAAGCACAGCTATCCATCTAAAACAGTGCCTTGTCCTTAAACAGTGACCTATATCCTATGTACCTAAGGAGGACACAGAAATCCCTGTGGTGAACGGTTATACAATAATCTGCCCTTTTTTCAATATTTTAAAAGGTTTAGATGGCCATGATCAGTCATGGTCTGAAAGTCACATTTCTTTGGTTAAGAATGTATTTTTTTGTCCATAACAGCATTAAAGTATAAGTTAAAGTGTACTTGTAATTCTATTCAGTTGAATATATCTCAAAGTCCTTCAGGCTAATCCTTAAGGGGACATTTATCCCCTATGAATCCATTCAGCAATTCTGCATTATAGCAGATAGGCAGATTTCTTTTGGCTGAAGCAATCGGAATACGGTACTCTGACGCTGCTCTAGGGAGCTG